TAACTTGTATTGCCTGTGAGTCACGGCAGGACATTATTATATGTCTAAATCCTGCAGTTAAGGTCTGGCTGCTAGCCCATTATTACAGGTGTCTAAATCCTTATTTATATATGGTAGGATTTAAAACAGATAATTTAAAAGTGTCTCATTATTTCATTATGTGTATACTGCATCATGAACTGTTTCAGTTATGTTAGTGTTGAAAGATCAGCTAATGGTCATATGTAAGTGTTGCTTTGATTCCCACTCCATTTATTTACATTATGTTAGGTTAGTGTCATAATTTTACAGACCATAAGTGCAGTAGTGCCATAGGTTAATCTGATGGAAGCGGGGATGAGATATGTTACTTATTTCCTTTCATCTGAACTGTCTCCTTCAATAACATCACAGAGTGTGATGGACATGTGGATGTCATTAAACAGGCTTGCTATTTTGACAGGATTTTCATGGTTTTCCTCAGTCCCCGCAGGCAAATAATAGTAACAATTCAGTCCATACTATAAAGAAAACACAGGTTTCTCTATTACATAGACCATGCTTTTTATGTTCACAAGAGCCTAATATTGGTCCCTGCTCTGAGCCAGATGTGCCACACTAGCATTGCCTTTTATAAATAATGTGCATTTTTCTCTGAGGAAAGTATGCCCATATTATTTTTGTTTTTCCTGTATTATTTTCTGGTTCAAACATTATTTTACATTGCAGTGTCATGTTGGAGTTTCTGAAGACTAGCTTGATACAGGACTCCATATAGTAGTTTAAGTTTGTAAGATTCTTATTTGTTGCAGCCTAGTCAAGCTTCTGCAAGTGTAGAAAACTGGAGTGACAGTTGCCCAGTATGTTGCATGACCAACTTCAAGAGTAATCAGGAAATGGTTGCACATATAGAAGAACACTTCAATCAAAAAGGTCACTGAATTCAAATTACTGTATATATAAATATTTTCAAGGTATTTATTGAGATTTCTTAACTGATCCTCATTTCTTATACCTGTGATTTACCAGAGGTTGTGTGCCAGTTGTTAGATGATAACTGATTTTCTTTCGAGGAACCCATTGATGTAACAGTAATACTTTATAGGCTAATTTTGCTGTCTGCATTCTCGGATCTGTTACTTGAGTGATTTTGATTAAATTTGTTAGAGGAAGTGAATATGAAGAGAATATATAATTGCCTGCTAAATCTAAAAATTTTCAGTGATCCTAGAATATGAAAATGTAGGAGATACTGCTCTAAAACACATTACTCTGTAACTGAAAACTGTACCCTATGAAGCATACAAATACAATTAATTTGTTTTCTCTATCATATAGCAATCAGTAATTTTGATTTTTTTTATGGCATGAATCACATGAGCTGTTCTTCCTATTTTCTGCTGTAGTATTCTAAAATGTTACTGTTATATGATCATTCTTATAGCATTTAGTATTCTGCCATGTGAGAACACCTTTTGTAACATCCTGCAGGTGTGTCTCCAATTACTCCAGATATGTCATGTGATCGTATGCTTGCACGGGAAATAGAGAAGCGAGAAAGAGAGGTTCGGAGGTTGCGAGAACAGCGGGAGTTTGAAATGCTGAGGGTGAGAATCACTTTATATTATTTTTATTTTATTATTGTTGCAGTTCTCTTCATAATAAATTTGGAATGATATTATATAACAAATTTTACAGTGTATTGCATAACTCATAAACTGAATCAGATTGATTCACAGTGAGCCTTTTCATAGTTTATCGCTCTGGTACTTACCAGAGAAGACCAGATTGAAACCAAGAGAAGTTTGTGTGTGATTTGTGGTTAACAAAGTTGTACTGGCATGCATGTTTTTCTCACAACACTTTTGTTTTCTCCTGCCTGTCATAATTCAGCCAGTTCATCTGTCTCCGTCATTGATATGTACATTAGGCATAACCACCCATCAACATTTTCACAATATTGGTCCATATCTGCAAGTTCTGTCTGACCTGGCACATTGTCAACTCAGAGGAAGGATTTTTTGCTTTAGTTTTAGTTCATAGTGAACAAATTCTGCCATAATGGAATCCATTAATACACTGATACTGATAACTGTTCTTTCATCACAGTTCTGTGTTCCCTTATTTTTATAAGCACTCACCATCTTTTTGCCTTATTTAATTTCCATATGTTTTCTTTATCAGGATTTTGCAGTTACGTAGTACAGAGTAGTGGAACTTCATTAGCACAAGTTCAAGACACGTTAGAAATGTGCTGTTCTAAACAACTGTGAAATAACTGAATTTCAGATAAAACAAAACATCAGAGATTTGCTTCTTTTTTTGCTTGCTCAGGCTCCATACCATTACATTAATAATGCATTAAAATTTATTTAACATCAAGCGTTATGTTGCAGTTTGTGGAACTTGTTATAAACATTGCTCTACTTAGTATGATTTGAGGTTTTCATGGCAGTGATCTCAAAGATGGCTGTCTCCTGGGCTGTAGTGCTGTGTAGTCGGGTAGAAGTTTACCGATGTTTCAGAGATCCTTGCTGCCTCTAAAATGTTTGTAAACTTCTACCATACTATACAGCACTGCAACCCAGAAGACAGCCATCTTCAAACTGTTGTACATAGTTATTCCTCTGGTAACTCATATACCAATAGCAGGATGATTTAAACTAGGTGTAGATGAGTATATTATAATTAGGTGATTTCTTACTGATCAGGCACAGTATGGAATGGACAATCAGGGAAACTTCAGGGAACAAAGCCTGACAAACATGCAGAAGGCTGTGTATGCTGGTGAAATGTCAGTTGCTGATTATTATGAACGGCAAATTGAGTTGCGGGCTGCAGAGAGCAATGGTGTTGATGATGGTAGTTCCTGTACCAAAGGTAAAATAATGGATACTAATAGCCTATAAAGCCACCACAGTGGTCTAGCGGTCAGAACACTAGCCTTGTAATACTGGGGTCCCGGGTTCAATTCCCAGTGGTGCTCAGATTTATAACTTGTGTTGGGCAAGGCCGTGGTATAGGCATCACGGAGTTTTCCTCAGGGGGCTTCCCCGGTTTCTCCGTGGCATCCCTACAATTACTCCAATCACACGCACAGAAGAAGGCAATGGCAAACCACTTCTGATCATCTGCCAAGAATGTATATATGTATGAGCAGGTCCCTGACAACCTGAAGGGGTTGGAAGGATCCTGTTCATAAAATATGGACCTGTCGTAAGACAGAACACTAATAATAATAATAATAAAAAAATAGCCTATACTAACTCCATGGAGCAGAGAAGCCTTGAAGAGCTAACAGTTATTCAGCTGGTCAAAATTTCCAGCCTTTCATGGAACCTGAAATGTTTCCACTGTGTTCACAGGTCTGCCACTGGTCCCTGTCCTGAGCCACGTGAATCCAGTCTATATCCTAACACTTATTCCTTATGATCCAGTGTTGTTATTACCTCTCATCTACACCTGGATATCCTGAGTAGTCTCTTCCCTTCAGGTTTCCCATCCAGAATTTTGTATGTATTCCTCATCTTCCCATGGGTGCCACATTCGTCACCCATCTCAGCATTCTTGATTTTTATTTGGTGAAGACTACAAATTATGGAGCTTCTCATTATGAAATGTTCTTCCTTGCATTATTTCCTACCTCTTAGATACTAGTATACATAATTTGTTCATAATTTTCTTTTGCCTTCAATTTTTACTTCTGTTTTCAGTCTTGATTTTTCTTTTGCAGGTCTTGTTCCTAAAGTTCGTGGTATTAGTGGTAGCTCACCAAATGTTGTCAGAACTTTGATGTGTACCACAGTTGACCATTATGCTTCAACGTATGGAGACAAAGGCTGGGGTTGTGGGTACAGGTATGAATTTAAGCTAACTTACTGAAAGCAGTATTTTGATAGCAGGATCAGTATTCATTCATATGCAGATTTCTTTTAACACATGGACATTTTTTAAAAAACATTTGTCAATAAAGACTTTTAGAAGAGAAGATATGTATTTTCTTTGGATAATGTGGCTCTTAAAAATAACGGCTATACCTTCAAATAATTATCTGTAAAATTTAAGTGTTTTTACTTCCTTCACAAGTATTTATGAGAGATCTGAGGTCAGGAATATAACAGGATGGTACAGCAGTTCATAGAAAGTCAAATACCCAAAGATTCTATGAAATGTTAATCTTTGTATCAAATTGCGGAACAAACTGCAAACTTTTCATTCAAGTGATCTACTATGTATTTGAAAGAATGTGTTTGCAGCATAATACATATTTTGTATTTTTACCACTAGAGATATCCAAAAAGTCATAAGTTGGCTTTAGGCTGTGATAAGCATTTTATCAAAAATGGTTTACCGTGTTGAAAACATACAATTTTTATGTTATGGTCATAATGTGATAAATGGTTTCCATGCAGAAATATGCAGATGATGTTATCATCACTACTGCATCATACTGGGTACAATGAACAGTTGTACAAACCATCATTGGTGGGTGGTGGACTGTATGGGATGAGTGGTGGGCGTACTTGTGGATTGGAGATGCCTAGTCGTAGTGCCATGCCCTCTATTTCCCGTCTCCAGCAGCATGTTGAATGGGCATGGGGACAGGGATTTGACCTTCAAGGTAGTGATCAGTTGGGTGGAAAACTCTTCAATACTCGGAAGTGGATTGGAGCTACTGAAGTTGTCACTGTTCTTTCATCACTTAGGATTAGGTCAGTGCCATTTTAAAATGATTCTGTGTGTGGGTCATCTTCTCCCCAGAGAACTGTAGAAGTGCAGATTGCCTGTATCAGAATTCTAAAATACAAAATTGAGTAACAATATTTTAATACTTTTGTATAATTAGTTTATTCTGGACACTTTCAGTTGAATGTGCAAAAATAGTAAGTCTGTAGACACACTTGAGGAAGAGATTTCATTACAGTTGTGTACACTGCTATTCTTTTGTTAGTCACATTTTTGCAGTGTGTTTGGTCTAATGGTCCACAAGTTCCAGATGCCATCAGAATAAACCAGTTTTGTTTAGGCCATAAGCCATTCTTGTATCACCACTTTTACACCATCATTGTTGACTTTGTAATGCTTCCTCCAGTGGTCCATAAAGATTAAGAGCAGATGGTGCCAATATAAGATTGTGCAGTGCATATTGAAGGACTTCAGATTTCATGTTGCTGACAATTTGACAGTGAACAGTTGCATGATGGTGAACATTACTGTGGAACAGCATTATCAAAATATCTTAAAGCACTTTGTTAGAAGTAAATGAGTTTAGATCTCTTGTTATAACAAATTATACATTTTCTTAGTTACAGTATTAAGTTATTTTTTGGTTAACCGTACAAGGTACACTTTCTACTTTTGCTGCAAATTTTGACATTTGAATGTTTCAGATGCCAGTTGGTGGATTTTCATCGGCCTACAAGTCCTGATGGAGGCCATCCTGAGCTATTTAATTGGGTATTAGAGTACTTTCAGAAGAATGATGATTTTAAACCACCCTTATATTTGCAACACCAAGGTATGGTTTATATAAAAATTAACTGTTCTGAACTATTGAAATAACAAGAGAGACACTAATTATCTGTCATGGAGTCTTCTATGCAAAGTAATCAGCTGTTCTTCTCTTCAAGAAGCTTCCTGTTGCCAATAGATTGAAGGTTACAACAAAATCCTGTCATTGGACCATAACTAGTAGAACATTGAAATTATTCATTGATGCCCAGTGATCCAATAAATTATTTGGATTTAAGAAAACACAACTGAAATGGGAAAATAATATGGATTATGTAAAAAGTAACTTCACAGCTTGTATTCTTAGAAGTAAATAAACCAGGAAGGTTTAAATAGGGTGAGCATGTACTTCAGTTGAATGAAACAATAAATAAATACAGAATTACTGAAAGGTCAAGACTGAGGATAATATTGAATTAGGGTGCAAATTGGCCAAAGGATAAAATCTTACAGCAGGCTTTTCTTTCAGCAGTGCTCAATTTTAAGGTTCCAATATAAGAACGTGAATTGTTATCAGTTTTTCAGTAATATGGTGCCACATTTATTAATAAAGTGCCATTCACAAACCCTTTGTTTTTATAATTGCTAATGCTGTATTTCAAGTGGGATTCAGACAGAGCATTTTCTTGTGTTGAATTAATAGGTCACAGCCGTACTATTGTGGGTGTTGAACAGTTAAAGGATGGTGGCCTGTGCTTGTTGGTTTTTGACCCTAGCCATTCCCCACGTCAGATGGCTCAATTTAGAAACACTTCAACAGCAGTGGCAGCAATGCGACTGATTCGCAAGTCATTGGTCGCTATGAAAGCTCGACAATATCAAGTTGTTGCTGTGTGTGGAATTATGGACACAGAGTGTGAATATCAGGTAATAAAATTCTCCGTTAATTAAAAGTGATCATTTATAAGCTGTGAGAAATGTGTTTCTTAATGGTCTTGAGTCTGATATGGATAAAAACATTAAATATTGATTGTAACCCTTAGTTTTCTTAAATTAATATTAACCGTGTGCAGAATGAGTTAACTATTTTACAAACTCTTTCACAGTTTCAAGCGTGTGTTTTGACACTGTGTATTAACAGAAGATACCTTTAGATGTTCTTGGTATAAAACTTGATACGAAGAGGTCTTGCCTGTCCATCTGTTGGCTGACCCTATATCTGATATAAACATTAAGAAAATATGTTTTTTGCCATTCATAAAATGTTGGATTGTTTTACCAACAGACTTAATCAAATGTTCTGTTTATAAATACATATTGCACTCACAGTACACACAATTTTTTTTTGATGCATACAATAAAGGAACATTTAAATTTATTCTAAGTTTCCATCTTATAATACATAGTTTTATAGTTTGTTCTTGGTAAAATTCTTTGGAAAATATAGCATACTACAAAATCTGGATTGCAGCTGCAAGCAATAGTAGGTATTTTATTGACATTTCACTGACACTTTCTATTTAATTTGTCCATTTTCAGCAAAGCAAGGTTCTGCGTTCAGTTAGAGTCCCACAAGACCGATGATGATAGCAGAGTATGTGTAGGTAAGAATGGTTCCTTTTGATTTCTTTGAGTGTTCTTCAGATGCCTGCAACTAACATCAGTGCAGTGCATTGATTCCTTAATACAGAATTATCTTGTTTAGTTCTTTTACAACTTAATACAGTAATTATACCCTCTAGGGGAACATTTATACAGACTTTGTACAAAGACATTAAGTGATAAAATTGTGACTGTAGATGTAGCAGCTTTAGCAGCCAGCTGATAGAACAACTTGATTGTTAATGTGCTGGTTGGAAGTCAAATTTGGGAATGTCAGAAGATTTTTGCAACCTCTGGACTTCCAACAACTGCCAGTTTTTCAATAGCCACTCTCATATTGCCTTAGAACTCCTGCTCATTGCAACTGAAAATGCACAAGTTAATAATGAAGGTAATCCTAAGTTAGACTTCCTTTTGTATCACCAATGTCTTTCTCATAACATCATTGCCATACTCTTTTACCAAAAACATGCAATGAAATTATCCGAGCCACCTCTGTTCTCTTCCTTCAAACCCTCCTGAAGAAAAACAGGACAACCTGGGTGTACCATGGAGAATTTCTCATCTTTCACAAAGATGAGCCAAACCTTCAGGTTACAGTATGGATGATAAGCTGTTGAACTTCTCCAAAGATGATAAGTTTTTCACCCTGGAACACCAAAAGTGAAATTCTCTCAGGTGATCAACTGCATCAAAGCTGAATTAAAAACTGGCAGTTTGGAGACCTACTCTGTCTCCATCATCAGGATTAATGTGGTGACGAAGACCAAAAGTCATTGACATATATATATCAGTCCATCCATGCATTGCCTTTTCTGTATTGGTGTACACAGCAGCCTGAGGGTAAAGTTATATTTGAGCAATTACCCATTGACAACTTGTACTGGTTCCGTTACGTAACTGGAGAATGTTCTTCAGTGTTTCAGTTATTCATTCATGTCATTATGTTTTAAAATCTTGGTAGTCAGGTTCAATGCATGGTTTAGTATCAGCTGGAAAAATGTGCAGTGGAGGACTTAAGCCACCAAATCAAGTTCCAGGACATTAAACTACTATCCACATCAGGTTACATGGAGTTACTTGTTAAGGAAGCAATAGAAATATAGCTACACCCAAATAAAATAAATAGGGAAGAAGGCTTCAAATTAAGTCACACATGGAACCTGACCATCAAGATTTTAAAACTCTGCAACATGAAGATGAAAACTAGTCAAGTGAAGATCATTGTTCAGGTTAAGCAGCAGGGAACCAACACAAGTTTAGGATAAGTGACTGTTCAGTTTGACTCTGCCCTCCAATTGCTCATTACGCCAGTGAGAAGGCAGCAACACAAGGAAGGACTGATACACACATCAGTGACTTATGATCATGCCCCCACATTGACACTGATGTTTTGCGACTGAGCAGGTCTCTAAAATATTGATTTCTAACTGAACTTTGACTTGCTGATCATCGTAGAGAATTTTGGTATATTTATTTGCTATGAAATCTTGAAATCTTACTTTGCCAAAAGTGCTTGTATTTAAGCGATCATAACATACAGTCAGTGCTGGATGAAGGATGAGTGATTCTGAAATAATGTATGACACTATAAGTAAGTAAATTGTTACATCATGATTTTTAATGTTTTTAATGATGACCAACTTGTGGAATGCACAGTTCTGAAAACTAAGTGTGGAGTTGGGATGGAAAAAAGATGGTTCATTGAGATTATGTTTTGTAGTAGGATTATTGCTTCTTTAATGTACAGGCTGTAACACAGCATAAGGAGACATGACCCATATATAATGAACTTTTTAAACATCTTCCAGGATTATTCACAAGAATTAGGAACATTTTATATTTTATTTTTCCTTCTATGGTCATAAATGCCAATATATGAGGACAAAATAATATGTTTTATTACAATTATCTAAGTGTTCACATTTGATAACATAACATCTTCCCATAACCATGGTGCTTATTACATGTTCAAATGTGTATCCTCACGTGTTTGTTTTTCTCCTATAAATAAAATCTAATAATGTTTTCCAGCAGCCACACACCTCTAATATAATAGTATAATTTAAATTATGTTGCTAAAAATGAGAACAAAAACATTTTGTTGTCAGAAAAATTTCAGGCATGCAATATAAAGAGTGACTTAAAATTGGAAGTATTGTTGTGTATTTGGGTTGATACTGAAATAGTAATATAAAATGAAGGTATAGCCCTCAAAAAATGTTTGATGTTCAACTAAAAGCTTGGGTGTTGTAAGGAAGGAGTCATAACTCAAATGGGGAGTTAATGTTTAATAAATTCATATTTTACTTGATATTCTATGAAAACTAAATTAAAATCAATATTGATAAATTTATTGCAAATGTTTAAATTCTGTGATAATTGAAGCAATACCTAGATTATATCAATGGGCCATCTTAATACTGCATTAAAAGAACACAAATTATTTCAGCCTTGCAGATATTTCTTATCAATATACCAGCTGAGACTTCTTTTCTGCTTGCCTGTTGTAGCTGCCTAAATTTGTCTTCATTATTCATCACAGTTATTGTTGAATTCAGATACATGATTTTATGGGTTGAGACATGATATGAAATTTTTCAAATAATTGAATCTTGTTTACTGTCATCAACTTAACTGTGAGAGTAAATGTGTTCTGGGCAAGTACACATAGCTTAGAAGTGCTCAATTGCTATCAGGAGAGTACATAAGTATTTCCATGCTCAAGATTTTCCTGCATGTACACACTTCTCATTGTGTTGAATGCACAAACTAAAATTAATATGACTTGAAACACAAACCCTGAAACCCCCAAAAAAATCTGTGATGATATGCATACTGGCTTTGGCATAACTTTCCAAGATCATAAAAAAAATGTAAAATTTCTATGTTTACAGACATTGGCACAATGAGTATATAACACTTTATTTCTTGAAATGGTGTGATGCATGAAAATCAAATAATGGTATCCATATTTATAATAGTCTTGTAAGAAAGTACAAAGCACAAATGGAAAATGAGATGGAGATTTGTTATGAAAAGGCAAAAAGAAAATAAAGAGAGAAAAAATTCTATCCCTATAATAGAACTGTCTGGATGTGATAGAGAAATTATGTGACCTTATGTTGCACACCTGCATTTTGGGCATATTTTCAGTAAAGTTGGCATTATAATTAAATGTATATAAAAGTAATATATCTAAGGAACAGTTTGTGCTATATTCATGAGGCATGGGTGTGGATTTATCTCATATCACATGCAAGGTATCAGTGCTGATATCAGGTTATGTGTCTGCAAAATACTAATTGTATGAGGAATCATTACAGTAATTGTTACTAACTAACAAATCAGATTTATTCTGCAAGGTTGTATTTACTTAGCTACAAATTAAATATTATGATCAAGGGATCAGTCATTACAACGGAATTGGCATGCCTATTGGCAGAATACATTGAGGTACATTCTATTCACACACCACCTGAACCATTATTAACCATGTGTACACTTTTGCAAGGAGATTATAGACCACTTCATCTGGATTCTACTGAGCATCAGTAAGATTCCTTGTTGATTATATGATATTACTATATAGTTAATATAGTAACATGTGAGATGAAAAGAATTTCATTATTTGTCAGTTTAAAAAATATGACAGGAGTAGAAAAAAATTCCAAACTCCAGTCACTTTTACAGCTATCATCTGAATATATTAGTGAAATGTTTGAGTGTGTGAAACTTGTACCCAAAGAACATAATTCTTGTTTTAAAAACCTAATATGCGAATGTTTAACCTTATTTATTTATTGTATAAATGTTTATCTGCTGAAAGTTATAACAAACGTTTGTTCAGTAGACTGATAACATGAGCACAAAACAATTCTATAATTAACTTAATAGATGGTTAGGACTACAAAATAAAAAAGAAAGCATTTTTTTCCATGGCTTCAAAATCTTCCTTCTGGCACTTTGATTTTCCAAGTAATTTTCCATCGAGTAATGCATGAAACAATGTTGGTAGTAAAGAAAAAAGGTAATACATTGACAATAAAGAAGTTTTAGTTGTGAACAGGTCCCTAAACAGTATTTCAAGGAGAAGAAAACAAAATTTGTAATAGCTTTAAATATCATATGTCTGAAGGCTTGCAACTCTGTGCTGCCACGTAATGAAACTGTATAAAACTGTAACAAGAAACATGTGACATCGACATACTTCAGTCACAATAAAGCCTACACCACATGCTTTATTCACTGTATGTTGTGATACAGTGCACATCTCTCTGGATTCTTAATCAAGGAGGTATCTGCTTCTGATCCTGGTTGGTTCCATCTTTCTACATTGCTTGCCTTAGTCCATACTGAGAAACATCTAGATGGAACTTGAACATAAGCTACTTCTGCCTCTCATATCATCCCTCCAAACCCACTATTCATTTCATACTATCATCATCATATTCTACTCTTTGTCATTGACTAATGACAAGATTAAAAATATCTTGTACTGTTAAATCTGAACAGGAAATGCAGGCAGGTTACTTATGGGGTGTGAGATACCATTAGTGTTGAGCAGAAATAAGTATAATAATGCATGAGGACAATTTTTTCTGGTCATATTTAATTAAGACAAAAGACTTGGTGAAGAATGCAGAAATTATATTAATAAAATATGTGATTTGTAAATCTTGGTATATCGATGTAGTTATATGTTTTCACCCTTCTCCACATCTGAAAAAACTTATATAAAATCCTTCCAAGCACCACATTATATAAAAAGGTAACATGGAAATACGAAAACATTATTCTCTCTTTTGTCACACATTTTAAAGTTGTAATTTGGCTGGCTGTCCATCTGCCAAGATTTCTTTGAGAAAGCTGAACTTTCCTTCAGTATTGTTGAAAGCTGTTTCTTATGGTTTCTGAAAACTTCAGTGCTTATTCACAGAAGTTAAATAAGAACATGTCTGTATGTATTTTCAACCCATTGATAATATTTCAGCACAAAGAATAAAACAAATTCTGGACTTTTTCTCTTGATTCTGAGAGTACAAATTTATACATCCACTCCAGTCACTTCCCAAAGAAGTTGTAACCAGTTCTTGATGTGATGTGGGTTGGGTTTGTCACCCTATGTCATTTTAGGTGGACCTAAAACAATCCTGATATTTTCACAGGTATCTAGTACAATATGATATAGTTGTATGCCTCTGTCTTCTCTCTTTTATATCATTACAGACAACAAGTCATGACACAAAGCATTGTCCAAAACAATCATTGAAGTTTTTCCATTCCCACTTTCTGTAAAATATCATTTGTTAACCCACCATCATAAACAACACAGCTGTAAACTTTTAAAAATTAAAAGGTTAATGAAAACTCAATGTAGCTATTTCAGGGTGATACATCTAACATTATACATCAATCTTTCATGTTCCCTGCTTACATGATTTTTAAGATTCAAAAACTTCACCAACCATCCCATTACTTTTCCTCTTTTTAAAAATGTTCATAAATATCTTGTTTTCTCATTGTGCCCACTTGAAACACTGATTGGAACCATTTGGACCAATCTATGTGCCAAGTGTCTGCCTTCATACAGATATTGCGTAACTGTTAAACTTTCATAAATTTCAATCTGAATCAGTATCTCTGTAAAAAAAAAACAGGTAGAGAGAAATTTCATACTAACAGTTGCATGTCTTCAGCCATATGTGACAATATGATATGACTGCATAAATAAATATAGATGCAAGCAAAAGATGTTCAGTAAGATTAAAGAGTCTGAAGAGTTCCTGTAGCCTTGCACAGTTTAATATATCTTTCTCCAAGCAACAGTTCATATGGACTAAAATATACATATAAGTATTGTACAGATTTAAACTACTCATGAATTTGTATAATTGCACTTTTTTGTACATTTATTGGATCACTATTTTCAACCTTGCCACTTCATACTGCAAATCTTTTCACTCACCAGAGCACCTTAAAAATATGAAAGTTTATTTGTTACATTGCTGGTGCACTTCTTTACCAAATGGATTCATTGTGTACTTCAATGGTGAGTTATACAATTGTTCATGGGGCCGTTATATACATATTGCACTGACAGTACTACAGAGTATGCATGTATTAAGTGATTTCACTATGAGCTGTATGTAACTTCACAAGCCTTTTGAAAATTCACTAGCAATGGTTTGTATTTATGGCCCTTTGCCCCAGTAAGCACTTCTTTTGTCAAAGAATAAACTATTTTTGCTACAACAAAGTTTAGCCTGTTATGTTGAAAAGTTCAGTTGCATCACCGGTATTATGTATTAAACAGTTATAAAAGTTGCATTACTTGCAGTGGAGCAATGGGCCATCTGTTATACTTCAATGTGATATGACCTTTGCTGATGTTAAATAATTGTAATTGCCCAAGAAAATTTTAATTGTAATGGGTTTCTTTCCACTGCCTTATGTATCTGATAATTGTATAGTTATTATTGTCATTATTTTTAAATGACACGTTTGTGATATCTTGTAATCCAAACGTTCAGAAGCTGTACGAGAGCAACATCCCTCCCATTCCATTTCAATTTCAACCTTTATTACAAACATATATTCTGTCAGCACATATTTTTCTGTGCAGTGAAAACTTGTCTCTGTCATACTGAAGCTTGTTTTCTGATGAAATTTATTATAATGGAACATTGTTTTATATTCAGAGCTACTTATCAGCCATATTTAGAGTTTAGTAACAAGTCACATGATCTTAAAGAAGTTTGTGATTGTGAACATTAAACTTACAGAAATTTTCTTATTATAACTGACCATTTTTTCTGGCAAGATATTCAATGATATATTGACTACAGTGGCTCATTCAGTGACATAACATGCTGGTGTACTGTGAGTAATGAAAAGCATGGTTATCAAAGATGATTAAATGGAGACCATGGTCTCCAAAATATTTGCATGAAGATTTTGTAAAAGTTACAACTGCTGGTTTCCCATGAATAGGGGATATGTAATCTCTGGTCTTTCTTCTTAATGCTGAATTATTTTATCATGTGTCAGTTTCTCCCTATTCTCTCATGTGTTTATATACATTAAAACCCTTTTGTAGTCTTCTTTTCTGACCTGTGTAAATTAACAAGTACATTGTCTCCCCATGTGTCCTTTACTAATGATTTTCATATTTTTCACTTCCTTACTTAATCTGTATTGCTATATTTTATGAGCATGCACAAATCATTTCTGCATATTTATTTAATTGTAATGTAGCCTTCTCATTTTCTGGTCTCATATTATCTTTCCTTCAGTACTTTACAAAAGTTTAATTTTTATGGTTTGTAGTTTGTTTCTGCCTTTTAACATAAGGTCTGTTTTTCCACTGCCACCTAAATTATAAATTATAAAATGTACTTACTTCTGTTACATAGTCATATTGCATCCTTAACCATATTAATCTTTAAATCAGAGTCTTCAGATTGTTATTGAGAGCTTTTAAACTTCGTTTCAACTTCACATTGTTGCATATTCAGCTTATATTAAAGTTTTAAAATTTTAATGTTACCATACTTTTTCATAATGTTTATTCTATGATTCATCATGGGGCTAGACAGTAATAGTGATCTAATTAATCCTGAATTTATTATTTGATACAAACTATTATCAAAATAAATTTATTCTTTGGTTTATTATTTAATATAAACTATAATTTAAAGAAATTTATTGTTCAATACACTTTACCATCAAGTGTTACAAGAGATAAGAAGAAACTTCACCTGAGCTGTCATACGATACAAACACCAGACATTCCATCCAAACTTTGTCATGCTTCAGAGCAGTAGAGTGTAATGAATAGGGAGACTTGTTAACTGATATTCCTGTATTAAAATCCATGAAGTGATGTATCTTTTTAAAATAGCTACAAGCAATCAGAAGATTATAGTGTAGTTATTGCCACCCATATATCTTTGATGCTTGTTACAAAGGACTCATATCAAATTTAATTTGTACTGACTTAGGCCCTTTTTACTGAGCGCAGAAGACATAACTTGACCACTTTTTGTTAGAATGTCGTTCCATAAAAAGAGGAATAGTTTTTATTTTAGGTAGGTGAAATGGCACAGCTATAGATTTGGTAGACACTGTGGCTTCCCTCCACAAGGCCCAGGTTGATTCCTGGGCTGTGCATGTTGGATTTGGTACTGGGGCAAGTTTCTTATTATTACACAAAAATAAAATATACCAGGAAAATTGAACAGTCCTTGAAATGAAATGGTTATGCAGCATTCTGACTATCAAATACAGAATGTATATACACATTCAGTAATTAAATACATTTTAATAAAACAAAACCATTACATATGTCAGCATTGACACACAGTGAATTTTCAAATCCTATGTATGTGTTCAAGATGACCACCATTATCTTCATGGTACAGTTGACAGTGGTGAGTAACAAAGTCTTCTCAAGAAATCAGCTGCATCAATTCAGAATAATACTCCAACATTTATAAAAACTGCCTTTGACTCCATCATTGTCTAAAATGTGGGGGTTTTATTCCATAACAATGTGGATAATTGCCCAAAAAACACTGGATTTTGTAAATGCTCTTATTTTAAAGAGTCTGTTGAAAATACTAACTTCCCAAATAAAATTTTGTGGCCTCCTGTCCAGTGGAAAGGAAAATACCAATGGGTATGTGGAAACTGAAAAAACTGTACCTTGGATTCTGATTTTTTTAACTGGATAATTTGTAAATAGCATGTCACTGTTAATGTCATTTTAGAACAGGTGTTGAAAATGATGTCCTCCAATATTTAAACAAATTTTACGATTATTTAACACAGCATTTTCTGATTGGTTAGCACTCCTACTTTGTATTTGGGAGGTCTCAAGTTCAAATTTCAGCTTGAAGGGCAGCAATCCTGTGATTTTTCAGTCCCTCCTGGCAAATGCTAGGACAGTGCCTTTAGCTAGACCACAGATGCTTCCTTCCACCCCTTTTCCAATTCAGTGTTCAGTCATCTGATAATATATAGTCTGAGCTACTGACATCATCAAATAAAATAATAAACACAATTGTTTAGCAAATTCTTTGACACTCAGAGTGGCCAACTGTTTAGCATTCCTCCATTGTATTTGGTAGGTCCCAGATTCCAATCTGAGCCAAGAGACAAGCTGTATTGAGACTTTCTTCAGTTCCTCCAGGTAGATGCTGGGATAGTACCTTAAATAGACCATGACTGCTTTTGCATCCTTTCCAGTTCACTCACTATAATTCAGTGCTGTTTTGTCAATGTTATTAAAATGTAAATAAAATAAACTTCAACAAGTGTAATTTTTTTATGTTATGAAAAGTGAAATGAAAGTACTGGAGGACATAACTTTCATTGGTAAGTATTGTTTACACTAAGAGAAGTTTCATTCACTCATTAATCCTCTCAGTACTTGCATTATACATGTCTCATCACATGACATGCAGTAGGAAGTATTTTATTCATGCATAACTAGCAGAGACAGAGTTTTCTGGCATGCTCTGTATGCGAGTAAATTAGAAGTATATGAAAGCATTATTCCTTGTGTTAACAACAGATAATATGTTTATCTTTTAGCCCTTGGAAAAATAATTTTCAGCACTAATGAGCTGTATGTCATCCTGTTTCCATAATACTGTCTCTGACAGGTGTGAAGAAGCAAATGTGTTGCTTGTACTCAATCTAATTTAGAGTCCCATGGAAACAACACTGCAAGAAATCTGGTTTTATTGACAGTGGCACATGTATTTTGAAATACAGAACACCCCCACAAAATACCACTCAGAAAAAAAATATATATATATACCCTTTGAATATGGCTGATAAATATAACTTGTCAAAAAGTAAAATAGTTTTTGTTGTAAGCTTAAATTTGATGCTCTAGAATACTTGCAAAACCAATGCTAACATTTTCAATGCTGCATTGATGACAATGACAAAGGTATACTCAGTTGTGTATTTTGTTCTATTTTTTACTTAAAATGTGTTTGCATCTCAACTATGCAATGTTTCATTGTAATCACTTGCTTAATATCATATCAAAATTAAGAAATATTTATTATGTTGCCATGATATGGTACAGCTTTCCAAACTCCAACACCATAATGTGATTTGTTACTTTTGTATCAGTGTTATTCTTTCTGTAATAAGTAATGAATAACAGATTTTTAAAAAGTGTTGAGAGTACATATTGAAAGAATGGAATTCCGTATTATCTTTTCAGACATATTGTGGTTACTGAATTGGTATTCACAGAATACCAAGCATTTGTTAGGCAAGCAATCTGCATTTTCTTTTTCAGTATTATTGAATTACAGATCTTTCTGAGGAGTGCGTAAGATAGAAGGTCTGCTTGCAGGACTTGAATTGTCAGAAACTGTTGATCTTGAGAGTCTGCTTGCATGTTTCTTACAGAGAATTATTAATGGAGAATGGTACCCAGTTTTGCTGAAAGGATTAGAGAAATCAAGAATTTTCCAGAATAAAGATTGAAAGACACAGATGACTTCCACGGACAAATGACGTTGCTTAAAAATTTTGTTGCTGATGTTCACAGACTTAAAAGTAAGTAAATAAAATTCCCAATTAGCATTTCTTGTGGAAGCAGCACATTTCAGGAAAACCTTAAATGGAGTGCTTAACACATACCTGGATTAGATTCAAATACAGTAATGGAAAATCTGTAAATGAAGTTCCACTGTAATACATACTTCGGTAGTAGAAAAAAAGTAAATACTGAACATGTACAGGGTCAAAAAGCTATTTGAGCAGATGTCCCTTTAAATGACATTGCCCTGTCAACAGTCTAGTCAGTTGACTCAACTGGTTACTGTTTAACATCAACAGTTCCCTAATTCTTTTGCTACAGGGTTCTTGAAGGAAATGTCACATTTTTGTCCAGGTGTGGACTTCATTATTCCTGGAGTTTTCTGTTCATATAGTCTCTGATGACCTGCTGCCAACATCACCAGTGTATGAAGTAAATATATCAAGATGGTGACAATTTTATTAGCTAACATACAATTAATCAATCAACCAATCATGCTGTACAACTGCTTGATGCCTTTTTTCCATCATATTTCTGGAAAACTTTTATTTTCACACTGATCAAAAACTACAAATCTGGCATGGGATCACAAATTGCTTATATACAGTATTTTATTTACACATTTCACAATTTAATTACAACTACAAAATTCAACATCCCTTCAACTAGGAATCCAATCAGGACATGGGACAATTTGAAGTAGTACATTATACTTTCACAAAAGGCAATTATGAACAAAAATGCAATTAGTCAAACAAGTCCTTATGACTGCCTTAGACTTTCTTATACTAGATAAGTTTACACAATGAACTGGTCAGTTGTAAATGCAGTTTTTCTTTACATTTTAAGTAATTTTAATTGCACTGTCAATACTTTCTTTAAAGGATTGGTTTTATTGCTCATTCTTCCAGTGACAGTCTGAGAGTTATTCTAATAACATTCATAATCATAATAAATAACAATAATTATCACTGTTCATTGCATTACGATACTGGGGTACTTAATTTAAATATTCTTGGGTTAAGCATCAAAGACAAAATTTATTTTATTATATATTAGTAGTTTGGCATGACAAAGGATTCAGAGCATAAAACTCTGAACATAAAAACAGAATATGCAAAGATTAGGCATAATTCTCCTAAGCTTTACTGGTGTCTTGTGATGCAGCTGGTTATGCATCATACTGATATACTACTGAACTCTTTGAGTTGACCTGCTAGCAGGCCTATAGTAGAGGAATTTAAATCAATTATATCTGTATGATAAAAGTTAATTGTGATTCCAACAAGAAACATTAGACAAAATAATTATAATGCAATGAATGTTTATACAACTGGGAAACACCGTAATTTACACATACTTATCTCTGTGACTCTTCCTCAGTGTCACTTCAATTCTGCACATTGAATACTTTGACAGGTACAACTAAAGATAATAAATATTACTGTTGAAGGGCAAATGCACTGAAGTCATTTTCAAATATTAAAACCCATTTTTCTCATGCACTCTTTATGGGCATCAATGTATGATTTACAGTTTTCTTCTCCATTTTCAATTATACTGAAAGCAAAACAAAATTAAAGTTTTTTTAATAAAATATTAACTATAAGTAAAAACTTAAAAAACTATATAAATATGGTCACTACACATATTTTTCAGATGCATGGTTTCTTTCAGATCTGTGAATATACACAAGTGATGTAAAATTTCCAGTGTTTCATGGATGAAATGTTTTTTATAACAATGTACTTCATACTGCTAGTGCTATGTCATGAAGGCAGTGTGTGTAGGTATGTGATCTTTACCTCCACACTAAGTGTGAGTGAGTGATTAACTTCATATTCTAGTCACACCTCTAACCCTAAAGAAATCACTGAACTTACAACTGAATACGGTCCCACACATAAATCTATCTTTAGTACATTCTATGAATCCATAAGTTACTCAAATAAAAACAGGATAAAGAATAAGTCATAATAAGAATCCTTTATATTCTTACCTTCCAACCAAGAAACTAATGTTTCAATATACAAAACTATAACCTTAACAATTAATTCCTATTGGACCTTGGCCTGACTCAGAGAATGACAATAGTCAATATTAACTTTAAAACAGTATACTGACCTAAGAGACATAAAGATTGTAGATTCCTAGGTCAGTAATTTGTTCCATGCTTGCTAACACATGAAATACATGTAAGCAATAGTGGTGATGCTTTCCTGTGTATTTTTTATTTTATTTATTTACTTAATTTTGCAGAAATACTGTTGCAGACTAAATCATTGTCGTAACTAAGACTTTATATTTCTTAACATGCATTTTATTAGTGCTATGACATGTTCTACATCCTTGGCTTAGGCCTAAAAGGGATCTATGGAATGTAAAATTCTATTTTATTAATAAAAACGCTGCAGACATTTTCTACCTCTGCTATGTGCACGAAATTAAAAGAAAGACCTGTCTTCTATACGTTATTTTACGAATTAACTTGCATCCCTCCCTTTGAAACCATTAGGTTCTTACCAGGCGTCTCTAGCTTTCTTTGTTTCCGGACATGCGCAACAAGGTTTCAACTTCTTTGATTCAGTTTCTTCAGGCATCTTCACGTTATTGCTTCCCATTTTGTATTGTCCCAAGAAGAACCTACGTTGCTAATGTTTGTACGTACCACAAATTCAATACCCTTACGTTTTAACCAATGTCGGCAAATGATGCAATACAATCGAATAATATGATTATGCTGTTTCGATTATGCCAATCGCGGATGAAATCGATATTTTCGATTCCTGCCGTACCTTTAATCATTCTCGATTGTTGAATATTTTGTCGACTTTTCAAGCGGAGGTATGAATTTGTGAGCATGTTGCAGTGTTGTTAATTTAACGAGTGGTGTAAAATTGTTTTAATACGAATAGAACCCGTGTTACATGAAATTTAATTTTAAACATGTACATTAATGGAACACGAAACTGTGTTTGATTAAATTGTGTATTGTGTCCAGGAAAGGCAGTGTGCTTTTTGTTGAACTTGGTGGTGAATTACCATTTACCTTGTTTGTAACACACAGTAATTTTTATATTATGCCTATTTGTGTAAAGGTTACTGTTTGTAATGAGTGTCACAGTGTAACTTGCCATACCCATTAGTGAAATAGTTCACCAGTTTATGATGCATTTAGTTATTTGCAGATGAATATCAAGAGGTAGTAGGAGAATCTATCCTGTTTGAGAAATTGGGCTTCCATTCTTTGGATAGCTTCATATCAAGTATCTTAGAAATTAAAGTTTTCCGCAATGGAGATGGTGACCTTGTATGATGAGAAGGTGGCCCATATTTCAACATTGGTTAATAGATCCATCACCAAAATGGAAGGAAAAGGTATTAACTTTTAGTTAAGAAGAGCTTGACAAGGTTCCTTATATTGATGATTTAAATCTCACATATGATGGAATGAACCGGCTGCAACTAGCTCTGGATAGAGTCCAGTGGGAGGCTTTTGTTAACATGGTGATAAACCTTTGGGCACCATGAAGAAAGTGGGTGAATCTTTGATAAGCTGAGTATACAATTGACTTTTCAAAGAATTTCCTGCCCCATAGAGTGAATGTGAGTGAGTGAAATCACACATACAGGGTTATCCTAAAGAGAGGCAGTATTTTTAAATGCATATATCTACTGAATTAACATTATGACCATAAATGAAGTAACAGATTTTATGGCCAAGAAAGAATACAGATATCAAATTTCCACTTGCAAGGTATTGCTCATTTTGTTCTGTATGATTAATAATAAATTGGCATTTTTGAAATGTACAGAAATTGTAAACCAGCTAATTATGTTAAAATGTAGAATGAAATTCTTGGACATAGTGTTTTTAGTTATTCGATTATTGACTTTAAAAACATAAAATGGTGCAAGAGGAGAGCTAAAATATTTAGAATAAAAGTTGTGTTAACACAAGTCGAAGAAGGTGAATGAATAATGTAAGTAGCATGTAACATGATAGAGATTCTAGATTAATCAATTAATGTATGGATTTCCTGCTTTTCCTCCAAAGAAAATTAAGATGTGCAATACTCATTCATAATTGTTCTGCAACAACTCTTTTAACACTACATGACCTCTGTAGTTAATGCAGCATAATTGTATGAACTGTAAAAAATGCACAGTATGTTATGGGGGAGGCAGCATTGATAATGATATGTTAACTTCTTATGTGTTCTTTGTTTTTCAGCTTATCAGGGAAACTGGTGGGGACATCTGCCTCACTGGTGCTGTGAAATAATTGGGGACAAGAACATGTTTTTGAATTTCTTTCAGAAAAGTTATTTTTGCATTTGTGATCAGAGAACAGTTCCTGTCTTTTGGATGTGAACAACAGTTGGCAACTCTATAATATATTGGGGCATTCTTATACTTACACAAGTGATGATCTCTTTCTGTTCCTTTTTTTGTGTTACTCACAAGACTGTTGATTCCATTGGTTACCTTCATTATTATCCATTTCTTAAGCATTCAAATCAAGGAAAATAAGGGTTCGTATTAAAGGTTTCTTATGTACACTGTATGAGTCCCCCATTGGTGGGCAGCTAAATATGTGAAACCTTCATACAGTCAAATTCAGGGGAACCATATAAATGATTGATCTTTGTTTTGTCATTAAGTATACACATGTTAATCTGTACAAATATATTGTGTTTTGTAAACACACAGAATTTTGTTTGTTGCGTAGAGATTTCTCTATATACACATGTATATACAGTGTTATGTGTAGATATTTCCTGCAGATTGTCTGTAAGCAGAACCTGAAGTTGTTTTGCCTTATCTTGTGAGATGAACACATTTTTGTAGTATGTGTCTTGTCAGTGAACTTTTAGGCTGTTCCTGCCCAGCATCCCCAGGGTAGACAGTTTTCTCTGGTTGATCTTTGTGTATGACCAAATAATTGGTAATGATGATAGACTCTCAGGTTACAAGCCACATCAGATGGCTTGTAACCTGAGAGTCTTTTATCAACTTCAGTCGCCACAAAAGCTTCACTTTTTAATTCATGATGAATTTAAATAGCTAGTCAGTTATATGTAAAGGTACTCAGTATCAAGTTTCACAAAAATTCATTATGCAATTTTCATTTGCATGTGTAAAGATGGACAAAGCTATAGAGTTGTGCTGTGCATGGAAATATTTGTGCCTGATAGCACCTTATTGCAAGGAAATTATATTAGAAAGTGACCTTACATTCAGAAGGTATTGTATCAGATTGCTAAAAGTTCAGATGTATAATTGTGTAAGATATAACATTTTCATCAGTTGTGTGTGTATGATTTGTTCCTCTACATCTATCCAGTTCCAAAAAACTGTGTAACTTGTCTTGTCCAACTATCAGTCTGTTAAATCAGGTCTATAAAGTTGTTGACTGAATTTAAGAAGTTAGTGATTTTATTTAAATGAATGCCTGGCCAAAATTAAGGAACACTTGTACAGGATAGCAAGCTGCAGATCCCTCCCATTTTTCATTTTATGTTTTACACCAAGAATTCTGTTCTAGAGGAAATCATAAAATTTATAAATTCATACCTTTCTCAACTTCACCTTTATGTTTGCTTGTGTGTTGGATGCATGTGGTAGAAAGTGGTGGCGTTAAGGGTACAGCATTATTCTGTTCCATTCAACTGGAGAATGCTTAAAATAAACATTGAAAGGAAATATAAATGTTTGTGGTTATGCACAAATATTTTAGTGTTGCCATATTTTGAGAATGCTGTTGTAGTTTTAGTATCGTATAAAGCAAACGTTATGTTAAGGGAATATGAACTAAAATTAAATTATCCCAAAAAATGTTCATAATTTAGAAAGGTATTAAGTTGCATGGGATATGGTTCTACTTCCTATAGAAGAGGCTCAATGGTGTCCCCTGTTGACAAAAGACCGAAATAAAGTTCTGTTTTCATATGTGATCCGTGGTTTTTACGTCAATTTAAACTAATTATCTTATGCAAAGAATAAGATGGGGAATGCCCCATTCATTTAATAGTAAAAGGATATAAATCAGTTACTGACAAATTCCATGCTTGATTCATGTAGCATGAAACAGTACAGCGTTAACATTTGTGTCATTTCCAACTCAAAATATACGAAAAAGGAAGTGAATTCTTCAGACGGTTAAGAGTGCCCTTGATGTCTCCTTTCGTTAGGGTTTTCTGAAGTTGATATAAATTCGGGACGTTAGAAGGAAATATGTTACATGTTTATATAGGTTATGCATCTCACTTCTTCCCATGTGGTTCATCTAATTGTAGTCATTTAGATAGTGATTGTAGCTATGTACACGAAATTATCGCAGCACGATAGTCTATTACGTCTGCACAAAATTGAAGCTACTGCGTGCTTGAGTTACCGTTATCTTGCTTACAGTAGGAAACGTGCACAAAGGGGCACGGCTTACCAACGTCTGTTAGTAATCCGTGGTGGTTAGGTAGAAAGTGTGACAGTTGTTGAAGTGGGGAAGTAGGTTTTGTAACCTTTAGTTGCTGCTTTTTAAATGCATTGCTGTAGCTGTAGTGGAAACATTAACCATGACCATTCTAATGGTGAAAGCATCGACTGGAAGTAGGGAAGTCTAAGTACTGTCAATGTTAGTCTGGAATTGTGATGGCTTTAAGAACAGAGGAGAGAAGCTCACTGGAGTTCATCTTTAAATCCCTTTTTGCAGGGGGTAAGTGCTGTGAATTATTAATTAATTAAATACAGCAAATGCCGCAATGAATTTACTCAGCATTGTCATTCATGCATGCATGCATGCACACATTTTGAATTGGTATGGAGTCTTTGACCCCCCCGAATCCATCATGTGGTATACAGTTTGATTTGCAATGGCATTGTAGTAATTTTAGAGGAAAGTATACCTGAGGTAGATTGATTGGGAAACATAGGATAGCTGTTTGATCTTTTGTTGTTCCCACAATTCAAGATTAATGTACAATACTTTGTAAAACAAACAGGAATAAAGTGAACAATTGGGGATATTAAACAAAAGTATATAATTACAATTTTATTTAGGATGTGTAAGCCTTCTGGAATATTGCACTGTGTTGTCTCATAGAATTTGACTGATGTTTCAAAGGTGTGTACTGCGTAAATTATCAATAACTTCTGTGAGACTACATGGCATAATATCCCAGAAGCTGTTATCTTCATACTTGCTGTCATTAAATCCTGAAATCTTGTTTATATATGTAATAACAACAGTGATAGTAACACTGACCTGGAAGACTAGGGTTTGATTTCCAGCAGGGGCGGGTATTTTTCTCTTCACAACGTCCTAACTGCCAGGGAAGTGGGAGTATTTTCAGTACTGAGCAGTCACCTGTACAAAGTGCTAAGGTTAATGCACGAAGCTTTACCATCTACCCACCCTCTGTACATTTTCACAGCATGGGATGTAAGCAAAGGGATACATTTATCTTTACCTGCTACAGTAATATTATATTTTTAAAATTTAAGCATTAGAAAAATAATAGTGTGTAATCTTCAATCACAGTACATTGGTTTCTTTATTAATAGGATATGACATATACTGGATATTAAACCCATCAATACATGTATGCAACACACTGGAATGAGTGAAAATCAGTCTGTTTAGGTAAATTGCAATATAGTTTTCATACATAAGTTACAGCCACCTTCCAAGTTCTTATCTATACTTGATCATCTCTTCATTAATTTTAGCTCCATAATTTCTGCTCAACCTGAGAATCTGTAGTTTTGTATATATGATCTGAAGCTTTCACACATGTTTAGTTTTTATTGAATCGGACTGCAGTTAGTCAGAAAACCTGAAGGGAAGGAAGAGTTCATCTGGGATACAGGTATAGAGGGGGAAGAAATATTAAAATGCATCTTAAAAAATAGAATGTGGTGTAGACTGGGTTGAAGTAGCAAAGAATAGGATCCAGTGGCAGGTTCTTGTGAACATGTTGAGGTTTCACAAAGACAAATAATTTATTAACCAGCTGAGTGACTGTTATCTTCTCAAGAAGGTTGTGAATGCTACATACCCTGCAGGTCATAGGTTGCCAACACTTGGTTTAAAGTCTGCTGCGTTTGTTCAGCACATTTGCATGTTTTTTATTGCCTGTGGGTTTGCTGTTTTACATATGTGTGTTAAGCGTTCTGAAAGATATGTATCATACCTTGTTTATGTTTATGCATAAAGTTTCTAGTGTGGGAGTAGTGTTACACAATAACATGGAAACACATTACAGGTTTTGATATCTCATTTCTGTTTATCATTACCATAAAGGTTAGCAGGGTGAACTGTTTTGCTGTTGTCAGAGCTAAAGTATAAATAATGACTATTACTCCATTTCTTTTTCCTGTTGAAGAGGATGGAAAGGGAGTGCAGTGGAGAATTTAAAGAATTCATATTGTTCCCTCACACCTTTGTATCCTTCTGCCATTTTCCACCTGCAGATTCGGCAACCAGTATTATAATAAACAATGTGCTTAGAACAATTGAACTTCATTTTATATATATACTAAAGTACTTGAAAGATCTAGTGTATGACAGTCTCATCAAGCTATGTCATTGCTAAAGGTGTGGTGCATAACTGGAATGTCACATGACCCTATCCTAAGGTATTACTTTGATGTAATAATATAATACAGTGCTTATTAAAATAAGCTAGTAATAGATAGTAAATAATAACTCAATCCAGCTTACATCTGATGCTTAAATCCAATGCAATGTTTAATAGAAAATTTATTAAATATTATTACCTCCTTGTGGTGCACCCTAGGCAACGTCTCTAACGGCAAAGTTGTCTACAAACTAGGCAAAAAAGGGTCAAAGATGAAATATCATGTACCTGCCATTTGACAAATAAATTAAATAAGCAATCATTGCAAATATCAAAGAAGAGGAAGATAGAATTTGTTATTAACTTCATTTGCACCAAAGCTGTGAAAATGGTAAAGTGGTGTTAAATTAGTACATTTGAACTGTTGATACAGTAACTTTGCAAACAATATAGTATAAAGGTCATCAGTACAACTACACCATGCCTCAAAGATTGTCACTGATTGCTGTTTTAAACTGAGGTCATTGTACTCATAGTTCACTTTGCAGGTTAATTTTGTAGAGGCTGAAAGAGAAAGAAATGTAATCTGTTGTGTGATTATGGGCCTTCTAGACACATTTGTAAGATAATGAAGTTAAAGTTATCTGTGCATCTAAGGATCATGCTGTAAAAAAATTTAGAGAGTGCACATATTAATGATTTCAAAGATTAGATGGGGATGAGTAGTAAGCTTTAAGCTCAGGCTGCCTTTACCTATGGGATTAATACCCCGTTGTTACACACTGGATAAAAATACTTGTTGGGCCTAGACATTCTGGAAACTGTGGTGAAAAATAAATCTCCATTATCCCTGCCAGGAATGAAATCACATCTGTCCAGTCTTGCCAGGTTTTGATACTTGTCTGGGTGTTGCAGATTTTTCATTTTATTATCACATATTTATTAGTGAAGACTGTCTGCTTTATTCAGAATAATGTAGACCAGAGTTTGATGTGTTTGTGTTTACTTTCCCAATTCCAGGCTTCTATGAAGTGAACAGGAATTAGCATAGGCCTCTGTCTAAAAAAGTAAAATGTTGAGGGGTGATAGGATTCCATGTTTTGTTTATTCATTATCATATTCGAGAACTAGTAATATGAATACTTTAAATTTTAGTTCATCATCTAATTATCACCTACCTTCTTAGAGTGCACAGAGTATGTGGAGAGACAAGAGAGCTGAGAGAAACATAATAATTGTATTACTCGAGAGTTGTCATTTCTAATCCTATTGATATTCCTTGTAGCTGGGAAGGATCATCAACTAAGTTCCTGGTATTTTTAATTTTTTGAATGCTGAAGAAAACCCAAAAGGCTGAACCTGGTTAGTAGCCTGTATTGATGGCAAATTTACTGTCACAGCAGAATAGGATTTGGAACTGTTGGTATAGATGGTGGCAAGCAGCTAGAGAGAAGAGAAGACAGTCCAGTTTCTGTCTACATACATGTTCCTCAGAGGACAAAATATTTATTAAATTTATGTGAAATTTAAATTCTATGATAATTTAAGTATTGCAAAGTTTCATTCTTTATGACATTAATGATGAAATTAAGAAAAGAATAAATTATGGGGCTTTTTTGCTTCTGTCTGCAACAGTAACTTGCACTAAGTTGTAGTGGCTGTCATTAAGTTACAGAGTTATTTCTTGTGTAGTTAAGTATTGTACAAGTAATAGAAAACTGCCACATGAGTTGTAATATCTCAGGTGTGTTTATAAATGAGTGGAAGCAAAGTGAATACAGGGACACCATAAGATGCAAAGAAGTTCATATGTTTAGAATAATGCATTTAAATAAATTTTATTCTCTAAGTAAATGAATTCATGTAATTCCCTAACATTACCCATAATCATAAGTTTTTCAAAACATAGCATTTTGGAAACTACTCAGCTGGATTCCTTGGACAGAGCTAGTTGATCCAGGGATTGGCAAAAACAGGTCTGGTTTCTGAAATATATTTGCTAAAACTTATGATGATGGGTAATGTTCAAAATAATTATTATGTTTATAACATTTTGTTTCTTTGAAAGTTTAATAATATACTTCCTTCTCAGGGATTGCTGGGATGTGTTCCAAGACTGCAGTGGCACCACTGGATAGAATAAAAATCTTACTTCAAGCCCACAACAAGCACTACAAACATTTAGGTAATTTATATTGTCTCATTATCTTACATAACATAGAGACATTAAGTTTTTAGAAGGCACACTGGAAGATTAAATATTCAGAACTGAATGGTAAGAAGCATTTTTCAGACTTAATCTATTATTTTTATAATGCATAATTATTTAATTGTGCTGTTGTCATTCGCAAGTACTTGAAAGTTAACACATTTTCAAAGGATTTATGAACAGTTCTTATGTTATGATCGTGTACTATAGTCTGGTGATAAGACATGAACTTATTATTTATTTTTCCTGTGTGTATTTGTAGACCACTTTATTGCCTTTTGTGGGGTTATTTTGTTATTTCTTATTAAGTTTGTATTTTGACCTAATACATTATTATTATAGACTACTTTTATTATAGACTTCATTTAAATGAAAGGATAGAAAGAATGTGTAATATCTCAGCCGGGATAGCTCAGTCAGTATAGTGACTAGCTACGGGCTGGACGACTGGGGTTCGATCCCCGACGGGGGCAGAGGATTTTTCCTCTAGCCTCTGCGTCCAGACCGGCTCTGGGGCCCACCCAGCCTCCTCTACAATGGGTACCGGGGTCCTTCCCCGGGGGTAAAGCCGGCCGGGGCGTGATGCTGACCACTCACCCCCATCTAGTGCCGAGGTCAAGGAAGAGAGGAGCTATACCTCCACTCCCCCCAAACGCCTACATGGCGTATAGTGGGACAAACTTTACTTTACTTTTACTTGCTGATGTGTATTGTTCAATCCCATTTTCTCTGTGAACTTTTCCTAATGGCATATTCTGAAGTGAATATGAAAGGAACAGGAATAAAGAATTCCCTTATTCCTGCTTTTGGAAACATTTTCTGCATCTGGTCTGTGAGCCATAGTGAGATTAATATTTTTTGTGGAAGGGGTTTCTATTGCAAAGTCATTCCTTTTTGGAAGAGAGTCATAGAGGATAAATGTAACCATCACTATTATCATAAGTCCACAAAACTTTGCAGATTAATAGTCAAAACTTTTTTTAAGGCACCGCTCTTGCTGCAAAAGCTCTGTACTTACAGAGCATGTGGGATTTTTTATGAGACATTGACCATTTAGGAACAGAGAAGTAATGTCTAAATAACTGAACAGTCCTTTCAAATAATACATTCATCAAAAAAGAAATTAATCCTGAAGCAAGTTAGAATTATAGATACCTGTAAGTATAGTGCATGTGATAGCAAGAACAATAAAAGGTAATCCATACTTGTAACATAAATTGTCATCAGATATACAACCATGGTAAAATATTGCTCAAAAGATACTAAAAGGAACTAGTAGTTAGATACCAAAATTATGTTTATGATTAGTAATTTTAGATTACACATAACAGGTTGGTTGCCTTTGCTCACAGATAAGTTTTCATGATAACCAACCAACCAACCTTTAAATTACAGTGTTTTATTTCTTATAATATATGTTTAAGTTTTATGCTTAATTTTTATAATTAATATGATGAAAATTAATTTATGTGCTTATTGTATAAATAAATAAAGTTAGTGCAGTGACTGTCCATACTTACTAAGATCATTCTGTGTGTGTACAGATTTTGATGAAACTCACTGTTTGGAATTTGGGATGAAGACGATACTGAATCTGCCAAACACAGTTGGCATACTATTTATTTTATTAGTTTCCTTGTTCATTGAAACATACAACCTGTGTCCATTAGGTGTCTTTTCCGGTCTACAACATATTGTTCATAAGGAGACATTCTTGGCCCTGTATAAAGGCAATGGAGCGCAGATGGTACGGATATTCCCATATGCTGCCACACAGTTTACAGCATTTGAATTTTACAAGAAGGTATTTAAAATTGACTTAATCTCTGGAGGTCTCATAATTGTGTGATATGTAGTGGGGACTGAAACATTTAAGCAGTGTATGAATTTGTATGTAAGTTAGAGTTATTACAAATGAACATTTATAATGCTGTGACTGATTGCTGTGTATTGCAACATAATCACCCTCTACCTGAACTTATCTATTTTAGGCTACAATCTGGGTTAGTGTTAATTAAATTCAGTGAGATGGTTATACCGTTGGAGGTCACTGACATATTTCTGTGCCTTAAACCTTATGGTACCTAAATGCCCTGCCATTTTGGATTGTAACATAGAACTGCCGTATGGAGTTGGAGATGAAAAGTGATGCCTGTGATGGCAAAATACACTATAAATGTTGATATTTGAATATGAGCCATTTGATAGTAATATTTGAACATTTGCAGTATTTGTAGTATCACGGTATCCAATTTCAAAACCTGTAAGGTGCTAAGGGCTGCCCATACTAGTCACTCATTTCTCCACTGTGCATATCAGTTGTTTTCCAACAACAGTTATTTGTGTTCATGACATTTCTGTTGTGGATGAAATGTCTGTATAATTTGTTTTTAAGGTTACATGCTCTTGTATGTTTAGATGCTGACTTCAGCACTGGGAAGCAACTCACACATAGGAAAATTTCTAGCTGGATCAAGTGCTGGTGTTACTGCTGTAACACTTACATATCCTCTGGACACTATCCGGGCTCGCTTGGCGTTCCAAGTAACAGGAGAACATGTGTATACTGGCATACTTCATACAGCATTAAGTATATTCAAGGAGGTATGCATATTTGGTTTAAATTTTCGTTATCTGTGCATTATCATGATACAAGTTACAAGATTCTGTGTTAATCTTATTTTTTCTTTTGTAACGGATGTCAAGCAGATTGGTAATACTTGTATTCAGATGGTACCCAGCAGTTACTGGCTGTCCTGAGGGTTTCCTTGGATTTCATTATATGCAAATGCCAGGATATAACCTAAAAATAGGTCACCACCACCTCCTTCAAAATATTTACCTATTTATGATTCATGATCATCTTCCCATCATGAAATTATCTAAAACCTATTCATTTGAAACAGTGTAGCTAAGTAACTTGTGAATTAATCAGTCAGTCACTGAACCACTGGTAAATTATCAGTTTTGTATTATATTTTCATTCATCTTATAAAATCAAAGTATCAAGTAATAGGAAATTTAGCTTGTTTTTAGAAGGAATATGGTTTGAATTTTGCTGAAAGAAAACTTATTTATTGTATTTCCATTCATCTTATAAAATCTAAGTATCAAGCAGTAGCAAATTTAGCTTATGTTCAAAAGGAATATGGTTTGGATTTTGCCCAAAGAATATTTATGTAGTGTTCTGAAATAAGTTATTACACTACCTTACAGTCCTTTAAAGTTTGTCATGTTCATCATGCATAACCATCCTTTTATTTCATTTCATGGTAAATAATCTCTGCAGTTTAAAAATTTCCCTGGCAGAAGTGGATATTGTGACAAGTGAGCTTGAACCTGTATATGTTGAAACATGTTCACCTACACATAACATACTATTCACTTGCCAGTATAGTAGCAATTATGATAGGTCCCAAAAGAAAATCAGTGTGTGTGTGCGCACGTGTGTGAAATTAATCAAATCAAGCAGTAGAGTAACTTTAAATTTTTCTATTATTTGGAAAACCAGCATTGGAAATGCTACATATGTTCATGGCAGTTTGTGTTTAGCAAATTATGTCCTGTTCAACATATTTATGGATTGCACCATATGTTTAATGGTGGTCATGATACATTGGAAGATGATCTAAACAGTTTACAGCCTGCAATGTTATGGAATGAGTACGATGTGTGACAGTGTAGGAGATTGTGTGCTGTGAGCATTATTAGATGGCAGAGAAAGTTGGAATTTTGGTTGATAGTTACCACATCATTCTCAGTAAGAATCAGAAAATGCATTGTATCTCCCAGCACATACCAAGACTATTAATGCAGGAACAATGCTATGACTGCTTGGGAATCAGTGCAGAGATAATGATCAGACTTTCTCTGAAAGATCATCACAGGTGAGGAAATTCACATAAAATGTCCCAAACTGTAGGCAGCCACAGACTGAATGCTTCTGCATAGCATAGGTCACTGCTTGCAGAGCAGTATCCATGGTACTGTAAAGTTTTGTGACCCACCAAACTCTTTAAAGCTTTACGCCAAGCAGTTTTTACCTTTTTCACAGATATGGACCTGCTAAAAGGTTGTCACTTCAAGGATGCAGCAGATGTTAATGTGGCTTCAAAGGTTGTGTTACAGAAGGTCACATATGGTGGCTTCCAGAAATATTTGCAGCAACTGTATGAATTTTGGCAGATATGTGTTACTTTTGAAGAGAAGCTTGTTAAAGGCAGTTACATCTGAGGGCTTAGTATCAATGCATTTCAGGTAGACTTCAGTCCCTAAACTTTATGAAGCTGCTTTGTATGTAATTTAAAAAATCCAGGTCTTTTATGCAGATCTTGTTTCTATCTAATATGCTTCAGTAAGATATGTTTTCTTTTCATTTTTTAAAGGAAGGGGGCTTGCGAGCCCTTTACCGTGGTTTTCTACCAACAGTATGCGGAATGATTCCATATGCTGGATTTTCATTCTACTGCTTTGAGATGCTGAAGTATATATGTATGAAGTACATACCTCAAGTGACCTGTGATACTTGTTCACGAAATACAGGTACTGTACAGCCAAGCAATATATTGTAGCGTGGGACGGTATACAACCTTGATTGTCAACCCTTGATTTCTTGCGGGCTCTACTACCTCAAATCCGATCTCAGTTGTAAACTTGGTTGGATTGTAAGAGACCACAAAGTCTTCCAGCAATAATGAATTTAATCAACTAAAACGTCTTTACAGCACAAAATAATCTCGTCTACAACACACTTCTCCTACAAGCGATTCACACTTCAGCTCTCTTCGCAGTATTTCTTCCACACTCTCA